GGCCTCGGGCCTGGGCTGCGCTGGGCCTGGGAGGGCGGCTGGCTCCCCCGGGTGTCTGTTCTCCTCCGATGAGGATGCCAGTCCTGGGGACAGGCCCACCCCAAGCCAGTGTGGCCTCCTCTTAGCCAATCACCCTGCAAAGAACCCGTTTCCAAATAAGCTCCCACTGAGGTCTGGGTGGCATGAGTTCTGGGGCCACTGCCCACCCCAGGGCGGGTGAGCGGGGGAGGGTGGGCGTGGGAGCCGCCGGGGAGCTCCGTGCTTCCGGCTGTCAGTGTGTGTGGGACTCCAGGTGCCAGCCAGGCATGTGGCACCCACAGGGGCTGCCAGGGTGTCAGTGGGACTTCCCTGCAACCAGGAGGCTGGCCCCCCGCTTCTCCGGGTCAGGCTCGGCTCCAGAAGCACATGGCAATGGGGGCTCTGAGGCCAGAGGTTGGGAAGCAGCTGCAGCCTCCCCCAACCCCCTTGGGCTCTCGGCCTGGCCCAGGGCAGGTTTGGGACCGCAGCCGCCCCTCCCTTTCCCTGGCCCTCAGCCTCCTGCTCCTGCATCCTTGCTCTGAGTCCCTCCTGCAGGACGCTTCCTCCTTGGGGGCCGAGAGGGGCAATGGGCCCTTGTCGGGGTCCCCTGAGGCCTGTCGGACGGGAGGCCCTAATGTGGGGGCTCTGGGGCTGGCTGCCCTCTGGGGGCCGTTGGTGGAGGGAGCCGGGGGGTGGGGGCTCCTCCCAGGCTGGGGCTCCGCCTGACCCTGGCGGCCTCTGTCCAGGCCCAGCTGGGGAGGCAGATGCTGAGCCGGGACCAGGGGACAAATGGAGCAGCCCTGGAATCGGCACCTCCCTGGGCCCGTCTCCGGCATGATCCCTGGCCTGGAGGGCTCTCGGATCCCCTCCCTGTCCACTGGCCCAGCCGCGGGTCGGGACCCAGGCCCGTCCCTGGTGCCGCCTGCGACCTGTGGGCCTGCGTTTCCAGGGCGATGAATGACATCGGGGACTACGTGGGCTCCAACCTGGAGATCTCATGGCTGCCCAACCTGGACCACCTGATGGAGGGCTACGCCCGGAACTTCCGCCCCTGCATCGGAGGTGGGCGGGCGGCGGGTGGGGCCGGTGACCCCTGGTCCTGGGCTGGCTCCTCTTGAGCGCCGGCCCCCCAGGGACACAGCTGGGAAGGTGGGTCCCCTAGGCCTCGCTGCAGGCTTGTCCCGAGACGGCTCCCTCCTAAAGCCCGGCTGGTCAGTCTCGCCTCCTGGGCTTTCCTGGCCTGGTCCGTGTGTGTGTGTGTGCGTGTGTGCGTGTGTGTGTATGTGTGTGTGCGTGTGTATATATGTGTACATGTGTGTGCATGTGCGTGTGCGTGCATGCGTGTGTGTGCGTGTGTGCGTGTGTGTGTATGTGTGTGTGCGTGTGTATATGTGTGTGCATGTGTGTGTGCATGTGCGTGTGTGCATGTGTGTGTGTGCATGTGCGTGTGTGCATGCAGAGTCAGGCCTCAGCCGGCTCCCTCCCCGCAGGCCCCCCTGTGAACGTGGCGCTTGCCATCGAGGTAGCCAGCATCGACCACATCTCCGAGGTGAACATGGTAGGTGTGCCAGCCTCTGCCCGCCTGTGCCCCAGGATTGGACCGGGACGGCGGCTGACGCAGGCCCTCCGCCCCCAGGAGTACACCATGACCGTGTTCCTGCACCAGAGCTGGCGGGACGGCCGTCTGTCCTACAACCACACCAACGAGACGCTGGGCCTGGACAGCCGCTTCGTGGACTGGCTCTGGCTCCCCGACACCTTCATCGTCAACGCCAAGTCCGCCTGGTTCCACGACGTGACCGTGGAGAACAAGCTCATCCGGCTGCAGCCGGACGGGGTGATCCTGTACAGCATCCGGTGAGCGGCCGCCGCCGCCGGGCCCGGGCTCACGGGGCGGGGGGGTATTTAACTCCCTGCGACCAACAGCCACTGCCCAGCCAACGCTGACCGCAGAGGTTGCCAGCGGCAGCCGACAGATTCAGCTTCTGGCCAACACGGCCGCTACCTTTTTTTTTTTTTTAATATATTTTATTGATTTTTTACAGAGAGGAAGGGAGAGGGATAGAGAGTTAGATCCATCCATGAGAGAGAAACATCGATCAGCTGCCTCCTGCACATCTCCCACTGGGGATGTGCCCGCAACCCAGGTACATGCCCTTGACTGGAATCGAACCTGGGACCCTTGAGTCTGCAGGCCAATGCTCTATCCACTGAGCCAAACCGGTCAGGGCCCTTTATTTAAAAAAAATTGGGGCAAAATTCACATGGCGTAAGATGAACCCTTTTAAAATGAACAATTCAGCCCTGGCTGGTATGGCTCAGTGGATAGAGCGTCGGCCCTTGGACCGAAGGGTCCCGGGTTCAATTCCGGTCAAGGGCAGGTACCTCGGGTGCATGCTCCTCCCCGGCACAGGCCCTGGTCAGGGCGCAGGGAGGAGGCAACCACTCGATGTGTCTCTCTCACATCGATGCTTCTCTCTGTCCTTCCCTCTCTCTCCCGCTCTCCCTAAAATCAATGGAAAATATCCTCGGGTGAGGATTAACAACAAATAAACAGTTCAGTGACACCGAGCAGTCACGATGTTGTGCAAACATCGCCTCTGTCTAGCTCCAGAACATGTCATCCCCCCAAACGGAGACCCCGCACCCATGACGTGCTGGCTCCCCTCCCCCCCGCACCCCGGAAATCACCAGCCTCTGCCTCTGGATCTGCCCCTTCTGCACACACTTTGTGTAGATGCGTCCCACACGGTGACCTCGTGTCGCCTGCTTCCTGGGCGTGGAGTCTGTGGGGCACATCCATGTCGTAACATGGGTCACGACTTCATTCCTCTTCCGGCCGGTGCTCCACCCGGGTCCCCCAGTGTCTGCGTCCACGCGTCCACCCACGGACGCCGGGCGGGGTCCACCTTCGGGCGACTGTGAGCGGCACTGCTACGAGCGTGCGTGTCCGTGTAGTTGAACACGTGTTTTCTGACACATGCCTTTTAAACATGGAATTAATTGGCAACATTTTAAAAACCAGGAGGTTTACGTAGGAATCTAAATTCTCTTGGAAAACCAGGCCGCTTGGCCGCTGGGCCTGCTCCCACCCAGGTCAGCGGGAACGCCTGGGCCGTCCCTGGGCCCCGGCTCAGCCACCAAGTCCAGCATTAAAAAAAATATATATATATATATACACACACACACACACACACACACACAGTGGGG